TTAATAAACAACTCTAATAGAACTGTGAAGATTCAGCACTGCTTTTTATTTTATGTTTATGTATTGTTTGGCTATGTACACATATCCTTCATTTTGTCAAAAATCTTACAATATTATTTGAAATATATTTTTCTTACAAGTGCCTCTTTATATTGATTTTTAGACAGAAAAATCTCAAATCAGCAAAGTTTTAATAATTATTGTCAAGTAGAGAATGCGTAAAAGTTACTTAGAATTATTACAAAGTTGCCAGAGTGTTGTCTGTATATATGCTAAGTGTACCCATGTCATGCAATGCTCACAGAGGTGTCTTAGTATAATACTTGCCAAGTATCTTGAAGCTGTAATACCAACAGAAGAACTCAAATTTTGCCTTTTCTATCTACTGTACACTTATATTGAAAATATGTCGAAATCATATTAGTAATATTTATACCTAGTGTAAAGTATCCATTTTGTATACCTACATTTCCTAGAACCTTCCTGTGATCTCTGTTCACGTGACTGGATTGCAACTGGAAACAGTTACTATCATGGTTTCAACAAGACCAAAACCTGGGCAGAGAGTCAGGCTGAGTGTGCAGAGCTGGATTCTCATCTTCTGAAGATAGATACTGAAGAAGAGCTGGTAGGTCCCAACTCCTGTGTTTCTGTTTCACTGTGACTGTGTCTGGTTTGGCACATTAGCGATCAATACTTTTTTTGGCAACTGAATGCCCTAAGAGTGTGTGATCTATGATTATGGTGACCTACTGTTCTTAGACAGAAATTAGAAACTTTCAATCATTAGAATATTTGATGCTACAAGAAAACCAAAGTAATAAATGGCATAGTATTTTAAGATCTTAAATCTTCTGCAGCCAGCCTTTGAGTCAGCAGGAGACAAACCATAATATATGCTCAGTTATGGGTTATGGTCTTTTACTCCATAGGAAAACTTGTCATTGTTTGGAATTAAAGGGTGGATACATCTCAAAATGAATGAAACAGATGGATTCTGGCTATGGGAAAATGGATCCAAAATACAGTCCATTTCGTAAGTACAACGTTTGAATAAACAGCTTTTCTGAGAGTAGTTGTGTGTGTGTGTGTGTGTGTGTGTGTGTGTGTGTGTGTGTGTTCTGGGTATGACACAGAAACAGTGTTCAGGAAATAGGAAAGAGCTGTGATGTACAAAGACCAGTCTGTGGGCCATAACTGGGAAAACGGAAAATGTGTCCAAGGTAGAACATTTCCATTTATATTTCATTTGGACTCCTTGGAGGAAGTTATTCACAGATTTATGAGGCTCATACATTTAAAAATTTGTGCCACTTCTTTTATTACTTGAATCATATTCTTACACTAACAATATAGGTTTAGACTGTACCTGACAGTTTTGTTTCCTTTCAAAAATTAATTAATCAATTAATTAATTATATGAGTATTCTGCCTGCATGTATGTTATGCACCCATGTCATGCAATGCCCACAGAAGCCAGAAGAGGGCATCAGATCCCCTGAAGTGGAGTTATACATGGTTGTTAGCCACCATTAGGTGCTGGGAGCTGAACCTGGTCCTCTACATGAGCAGCCAGTGTTTTTAACTACTGAGCCATCTCTCCAGGCCCATGCCTGACATCTTCTGTTAAGTGTACTTTTTGCAGTTAAACATTATGACTCCTTGTGGTTCTTTGTTTTGTTCTTGTAACAACTTCTTGTTTTATTTGGGAGATTTGTACTTAATTTAGATAGCTCTAAATTTGAAATAAAAATATTATTTGCAGACAATGCACTTGATTTCTTAAAAGGTTTTTGTTGTTGTTTTTGCACAGACAAAATAATTCCCTAAGGAAGAACTGTAGTTGTCCTTATATGCGTGGAAATCATATTTATGCTGAAAACTGTTCATCTAGGAAACAATATACCTGTGAGTTTAATATACGCAAACACCTTTTTCACTAGCACATTTTATTATTAACTTATGACTAATAAAATATATCTGTTATTTGTTGATTTTGTAATTTCTATACTTGATTTTAGCCAAAAGATTGAGAAATGATTATTTTAAAATATTTTAAATCAATTGATGCTGTATATTTTTATTGAACTAAGATGTCTGTTAATTTTTTTACTTTTGAACTGTATTGAGAGTAAGGAAAAATGATCTTGTGCATAATTACCTCTCTATCACGATTTATGTTTTATTAAAAAATTAAAGGGTTACTAAATTCCAGATACACTCATCTTCTTTGCAAAATACAAGGATTTAAAGAGATGAAAGATTTCCATATTAGTTGAGTGGGTTTTTTTTAAAGCTATTATTTATTTATTTTTATTTATTTTTTATTCATGTATTTATTATTTGGGGAGTCATATCATGACACACATGCGGAGGTTAGAGGACAAACTTTGTAGAGTTGTCGCTCTCCTTCCACCTTTATGTCAGATCCTGGGATCATACTCAACTTGCCAGGTTTTGGTAACAAGGGCTTGTACCTACAATGAGCCATCTCATTGACCTGGATTTTTGTTAGTTTTTAGATTATGCTTATATTATGCTGATGACCCTGGTCTGTATTCCCAGACTTCAAACTATTTTTGAGTCTCAGCATAAATAATAGGCAAATGACAAACTAGAGATTCATACCACCATGCCCACTGTAAGATTTCTAACATGAGTCAGATACCTTCTGAAATTGTTCAGGAGAAACAGCAAGAATAAGTTTAATGGAAAAAAGCAATAAATAACAATACAAGGTGAGTAAAGGTAAGAAACTCAGAGTCTAGCCAGAGTTGTAATACATTGCCATTTCTACAGAGCAGATAGTATTGGGCTTTCAGTCATTTAAAAGACAATCAGGTTATGATGAGACAGTAGTTGAGAAAACTTACTTGAGAAATGAAACTATGGAGGAAAAACAAAACTCTGTAACTGAAAGCCCTCTATCTCAAAATTCAAAATTCTAATATCTCAAGTCTTTGAGGAAATACCAGCTACCTTTTTCCAAATGTAGCTTTTAAAATGTTATTGTTGCATTAAACTATGATAAGCTATGAAAACTTAAACAGAAATCTTAAAAAGGAAAACCACAATACAAACATTACAGTCATACTATTGAAACAAAGCTGTTGAATACAGATTGAATGCAGCATAGCAAAGCTGTCATAGCCAATGGGTTAATGACATAAATGATTATTAACTTTTTATCAGAAACAAGTAAATTTTTAAAACCCATTCAGACTTCTGATTTGTGGTCCAAAATGTTAGGTGCTTTAAGGCAAAAAAGCATCACAGAGGACATGGGAAAAAGAATGTAAGAGCCAGAAGGTGGGGAGGATTGTTGGGAAGCAGTGTCTTCTGGACATTACATATTGCTATACTCATAAACTCACTGCAATTGTAGTTACCCGCACAAGACCTGCAGAAAATTGCACCTGTCACCATTTCTTCACAAATAGGGGAAGGGCGGGGTCTGGAGAGCTGGCTCAGCAGTTAAGAGCACTGGCTGCTCTTTCAGAGGACCTAGGGTCAATTTCCATTTCCCACATGGAGACTAACAACTGTCCATAACTCCTGTTCCAGGGGAATCCGATGCCCTCTTCTGACCTCCATGGGCATTTCACATCATGGGTGCACTTACATGCATGCAGGCAATCTCGTCATACACATAAACTTTAAAAAATAAAGAAAGAAAGAATTTGAAATAAATAGGGGAAGAGGTTCAAGAGGCTCCAGCTCATTGAAGGATTATGGGCAGTTAATGGGTGCTGGGATAGACAGAGTCATTTTCTTCAGTCACATAGCCACTGATAAGTTGCTCATGTTCCAGGAAATAACTCCAGCTCATGCTGATACCAATAACCATAATTAAAATCACTATGTCACACACACATACAAAAAAAATCAAAGTAGGAAGAAGGGTTTCAGTGGGAGGAGGAGGAGAGGATGTTGGAGGATAACAGGATGTTTAAAAAAAAACCTTCAGTATATACATACATGAAATTGTCAAAGAAAAAATTTTAAATGAAGGTGGAGCCAGAAAATAAACCTGAAAAAGCTGTGAATCAACAATTCTCCACAAATCCTCCCCTGACTCACAGAGCAAAACTGAAGGGGAAAACTGAAATTACTAAGGAAGAAAACTAAAATTAATTGAGAAAAACACCCAGAGCAGCTAGTCTGGGAAAAGAGCCCCTGCTAATCAACCTATGCTGGTTTAAGAAAACAAATCCCATTACCTAGGAAACCAGCCCTCCTACTGCTTTGGAAAAACAGGTGTATAATCTTTACTTTTGCTTTTGTAAATGTGCTTCCCTCCTTGAAATTCCAACTATAGGTCATAAAACGGTGGGGGTCCATTGGTTGGAAATCCATGCATGGTTTACCATCATGTACGATGGAAAGCCATGTGACCCTGATACCCAGTGTAAGAGCAAGTCTGAAATAATGCTATTTATTCTGGAAAGGGACTGCTCCTTGTTAACCAGGCTTTGGAGATCACTCTTGTGGGCATACTCCCTGCAGATTAGGAATAAAGCTGTAACTTCCCACCTTGCCTCCAGGTGTCTGATTTAAAATGGTGGTTCCTGATACAGTTATTCATATTACAAAACAAAATTAAACCTCAGATCTCTGGGCTGACTTCCTAACCCAGACTACCTAAACCCCCTAGCATAGACTACTACATCCCTCCTCAGGTGTTCCCCACTTCAATCTTCCCTGGCTCCTGATCTACCTGACAGACGAGCCCACGTAGGACTCTGGTAAGTCAGATCCCATCCACTGTATCTCTATTTGATTCCTCTACCCCACCCCCTTGCTAGCTTTGGACTCAGGCCTGCTCCAATTCCTCTGCTTCAGATCTCTGGACTAGTTTCCTAACCCAGACTAGCTAAACTCCATAGCATAGATTCCACTGGCTCCTGATATGTTTGACACAGAACAGACCTCCTACTAACCTGACCAGTCTCCCTACTACCCTGTCCTACCAACTACCCAGACCAGCCTACCACTCTGGAAGACCGTGAAACACAAACCAATTTATTTTTCATACCTGAAAAAAAACCAAACAACCAAACTACATAAGCAATAAAAACAGAACCTAAATTCAATTAAATAAAGGCAGAATAGGAGTTCCTACTGGACACGTAATCAACAAAGAACCAAACAGCAGCACACAAAAATACCAATATGAAAAACCAAGAAAATATATCCCCAGCAAAACCCATTAGTCTACAGGAGTGCACTACAATGAGAACCATCCTGAGGAACCCCAAGACATCGAATTTAAAAGAACAATCATAAACAAGATCAAAGAACTTAAAGAAAACACAAATAACTTGAAGAACTCAAAGGGATAGGGCATAAACTTTTCATGGAAGCTCAAGAAATTACAAATATGCAGCTTAATGAAATATTAGAAACAATTCATGACTTAAAAAGTGAATTCACATAAGAGATAGAAAATATTGAAGAAAACCAAAATGGAAACAAACATGGAATTGAAAACCTCAATAAGCCAATTAGAGTCAACAGGAGAAAGCCGCACAAGCAGAATGAAGGAAACAGAACACAGACTATTAAGACTAAATGACAAAGTTGAAAATCTTGACTCCTTAATTAAAGGCTAAGAAAATTTAACAAAGCACAGGAATGTAATATGCAAGAAATGGGGGACAGCATGAAAAGACCAAATCTACAAACCATAGGCACACAGGAAGGAGATGAATCTCAGGCCAAAGGCATTGAACAGATCTTCAACAGGATTATAGAAGAAAACTTCCCTAAATTAAGGAAAAAATTACCTCTAGAGATTCAAAAGGCACATAGAACACGAGTTAGACATGATCAGAACAGGAAGTCCCCGCGGCATATCATAGTAAAAACAGAACAAAGAGAGGGTACTGGAAGCTTCTAGAGGAAAAACAAGTTACATATAAAGGAAAACCCAGCATAATTACAGCTCACTTTTTAACACAAGTCAGAGTTCTAAATGATCATGGATGCCAGACCCAAATATTTTATCCGGCAAAACTATTGATCATGGTCAAAGGGGAATGGAAAATTTTTCATGACATGGATAGTCTGAAAGAATTCATGTCCACAAACCAGTCCTACAGAGAATACTCAAAGCAATACAAAGGACCAAAGACAGGAATGAGTGTGCCCAAAATGTTACAGAAACAAAAAAAGAAAAGTATAGTAACAGAAACACAAAATAGGGCCACAAACACAAAGAAATTAATATGACAGTATTCAATACACATTTTTCAATAATAACACTAAATATCAATGGCCCCAACTCCCTTGTCAAAAGACACAGACTAGTGGAATGGATCAAGAAAGAAAACCCATATTTTTGTTGTCTTCAAGGAACTCATTCCCACCTTCAAGGATAGACATTGCCTTAGGATGAAAGGATGGGAAAAAATATTCCAAGCAAATGGCCTTAAGAAGCAAGCCAGTGTTGTAATTCTAATATCTGACAAAATAGACTTCAAATTAAAACTAATCAGAAGAGACAAAGAGGGTGACTTCATTCTAATCAAAGGAACAATAAAGAAGATATTACAATCATGAACATATATGCACCAAACTCTGGTGCACCCAATTTCATAAGAACAATACTCCAGGACTGTAAAACACAGATCAACCCCAACTCAGTAATAGTAGATGAGGCCAGGACCCCATAATCTTCAATAGACAGGTCAGTTGGGCAAATAATGAACAGAGAGTTATCTGAATTAAATAACATCTTACATGAAATGGACCTAACAGATTTATACAGAATATTTCACCCAAGCAACAAAGAATACACTTTCTACTCAGCAGCCCATGTAATTTTTTTCTAAAATTGACACATGCTGGGACAAACTTCAAAACAAATTTCAACAAATACAAAAAAAGTGAAATAATTCCATGCATTCTATCAGACCACAGTGCCATAAAGCTTACAATCAAC